GCAGAGCACACGCTGCCCAGCACGGCCAACGCGCAGAGCACACGCTGCCCAGCATCAACGCGTAGAGCACACACTGCCCAGCATCAATGTGCAGAGCACACACTGCCCAGCACGGCCAGCGCGCAGAGCACACGCTGCCCAGCATCAACGCGCAGAGCACACGCTGCCCAGCATCAATGCGCAGAGCACACGCTGCCCAGCACGGCCAATGCGCAGAGCACACGCTGCCCAGCATCAATGCACAGAGCCCACGCTGCCCAGCACGGCCAATGCGCAGAGCACACGCTGCCCAGCACGGCCAGTGCGCAGAGCACACGCTGCCCAGCATCAATGCGCAGAGCCCACGCTGCCCAGCATCAATGCACAGAGCCCACGCTGCCCAGCACGGCCAATGCGCAGAGCACACGCTGCCCAGCACCGCCAATGCGCAGAGCCCACACTACTGGGGGCTGGGAAGGTGGCTCAGTGGTAGAGCACTTGCCTTGCATGCCTGAGGCCCTGGGTCTGATTCCTCAGCACCACATAAGCAGAAAAAGCCAGGAGTGGTGCTGTGGCTCAAGTGGTAGAGCACTAGCCTTGAGCTGAAGAGCTGAGGGACAGCGCCCAGGCCCAGAGTTCAGACCCCATGACCAGACCCAAAAAAACAAAAAAAAAGAAAAGAAAAGAAAGAACACACTACTGAGCACAGTCAATGCATAAAGCTGAGAACACGCTACTCAGCACAGCCAATGTGTAGAGCTGAAAACATGCTACTGAGCAGGGCCAATGCGTAGAGAGCAAGGTCAATGCATAGAGCTGAGAACACACTACTGAGCACGGTCAATGCATAAAGAACACACTACTGTGCATGGCCAATGCATAGAGAACACGCTACTGAGCATGTTACATGTGTGTTCCACTCACACGTGGAAGCTAGACCTAAAATACATATTTATCAACAGTGCACACACATGTATGTACGTGCATGTATAAACACATAGCACATGACTGATTTGGGGGGATGAGGGAAAGGAGAGAGAGACAAAAAGGAAGGTGAAGGATGACTAATTTTGAAATACAGTACAACCATGTATGAAGATGGCAGAAGGAATCTCAGTGAAAACTTGCTCAGTAGGAGTTGGGAGGACCAGGAAAGAGGAAACAATAGAGGGTATTCTGTGTTTGTAAATATTTTTATTGTTATTATGAAGATGTACAGAGGGGTAAAATCAAGAGTACATTTCTTAATTCTCTCCTAGTTTTCTCCTCCTGTCCCCACCCACAAGTTGTAGAGTTCATTTTCAGCCACGTCTAATGAGTACCACGTCTGCATTGATTCACCTTTTGTCAATAGGGGTGTTTTGAGCAAAACATGATATGTTTACGTTTGAAATACCATGTTGACATCGCTTGGTGCAATTAGTAAACACTTAAAAAAAAAAGGACAGGAAAGTAAGACAGGCTCTGTGGGGGGAGGGGCACACCAGTAGAAGGGGCGAATGAAGATGAGTATGTTTGAAGCAGTTTGTTCTCATGTGTGGAAATAGAGCAATGAGTCCTGCTGAAATGTAAGAAGGGTAGAAGGAGAGTGAGGCTGACCAGGATGCAATATATGGAAAAGTCACCATGAAATCCCCTGTGCAACTGATATATACTAGTAATAAAAAAATAAAAGAGTAAAAGAAAAAGGCCGCTGAGAGCTCAGGAAGAGAGAAGAGCTGGCCATGGCCTGGTCAGAGCCTAGCTCCTGCGTCTGATCTTTTCTGGGGGGTGTGCGGTGTGTGTCATCGCTTGGAAGTGTACACGTGTACAAAGGAGAGACGGCCAGTCCTACAGTACTGGGCACGCTTTCCAGTGCCCTTTGCGTATTAGGCCCTGCCCTTTGTGCACACTGCAGACGGCTGTCTTGGTGTTGATTTTAGCATCTTTTTGCCTTTAGCCTTTCAATTTTTCTTTTTGCCGGTCCTAGGTCTTGGGCACTGTTCCTGAGCTTCTTTTGCTCAAGGCTGGCTCTCTACCACTTGAGCTACAGCACCACTTCCCGCTTTTTCTGTGTATGTGGTACTACTCGGGAATGGAACCCGGGGCTGCATGCCTGCTAGGCAAGCACTCTACCTCGAAGCCATCTTCCCAGCCCCAGCCTTGAATTTTTATCCTGCTGTTTTGACATCTGAATTATCAATGCTTCCATGGTCAAATGATCCACGTTTACTGTTTGTTTACCCCTCACATCTACAGGGAGTGAGGAGAGGGCAGGGACCAGCCATACACCCTGGATCCCCGCCAAGTCTAGGCCAGAGCAGCAGCTTCTAGGACCCCTCTCCAGACTCCGACCTCCCCCCTCCCCAGCCCAGATGCTGGGAAAATAGCATGTAAGTACATCTTACAGTGTGGTTTGGTTTATTTCGTTTTTCTCTGTGAGAAAACCTCCCTCAGGAGCCCAGCTGTGAAGCATGACCCCGAACAGATGTTGCAGTGGGCAGCACAAACGCTGTCCACATCCTGCTGTGTCTCCCGAGGGGTGGGTGTACCCAGGGCCTGCAAGTCTTGGGGTCCTGGGGGAGTCAGGCCAGAAGCCTCGGGGTCCTGCGGAGACTGTCAGTCATGTTGGGGGAGGGGTAGCCTGAGCCCAGGCCTTCCCATCCTTGCTAGAGGGTTCCAGGTACAGAGTGACCCCCCAAGGCCCTGTGGAGAGAGCAGCGTGAGCCTGCAGAGCCAGCAGAGCCAGCAGGTCGAGCCTGCAGGCCAAGGCGGCAGAGGGGACAGAGGACAGCTCCGCCATCAGGTGGGACTCTCTGCACTGTTGTTCAGGTGGGGACTGTCCTCACAAAAGAGCCTTTGTCCTCAGCTTCCCCTGCTGGGGCGGAATTGTCCTCCCCACAGAAGGGCACAATGAGGCATTGTGCGGAGCAGAAAAGGGCCTCTTGTTTCAGCATCCTGCCCTGCAGCTCAGGCTGGGCCCTGGGCTCCCTCTCTGGGTTTGTCCAGGGTGGGCATGGCCGGTGGAGGGGTCTGCTGGGCACGCCTGCCCTCTGCATCCGCGTTTCCTGCCAGGTCCAGCTTCCTGGGACTCTGGCTGGAACTGGCTGGAGAGCAAGTCACACCGGCCAAGGAGAAGCTGCCGATGGCTGAACCTTGTCCATATCAGCCGGAGTTTAATCAGAAGTGCCCTGGGGTGGTGTTCTCGGACAAACAGGAACAAAATTCTGATACAATGTGGATGAAACAGAAAGCTGGGACAAGATAGCACCGATGCAGCTGTAGGGAGTGCGAGGAGGCAGCTGGCGGGCGCGGGGAGCGGGGGCTGTGGATGCTTGGTGTAGAGGCTCATCTGGAGACCCCCGCTCGGCAGAGGAGACAATGTGGAACTGTGGGCGCACAAGCACTGCTCAGGCCTTCCGTTGACCGTGGCCACGTTCATGCTACGTGAATTTCACCTCAGTCAGAACAACAACAACAAAACAACACTAAGGCTGCTTTCACCTGAGCAATGATGAGTCTTTCCTGACCCCAGGCCTGACTTAACCAGACACGTCACAGTTGCAGACAACTTCGGGATACAGCTGGGTCTTAGGCCCAAAGAAACACCACAGAGAAAATGGAAACTGCAAACCTGGTGGAAGCTGGGTGTGGTGGTGCACATCTGCAGTCCCAGCACTTGGAAACGGAGGCAGGAAGCCCTCGGGTTCAAGGTCAGCTTGGGCTGCCTCTAGAGACCCTATCTCAACAAAGCAAAATACCCGGATGGAGCCGTCCATCTAGGAAATGCATGCATGGGTGGGGGCCAGCAGGCCGGCAGAGCCACGGCGACCTGGGCCTGTCACCGGGGCCCAGGTCCTCTGCCAGCTGTACCCCGAGTGCTCACCGGCAGGAGGAGGGGCAGAGACGGTCCTGAGCTAACACTACCAGGCAGAAAGCTAGAAGAATGGGCAGCCGAGGGGAGGGGAGCCCCAGGGCTTCAAAGGACCCACAAAAAGAGAAGGGAGATAGGACAGTGGTCAAGAGGAGCAGCCTGCCCGGCCCAGGCTGGGTCCGTGGAGGCTGGGGCATGCCCGCCCCGGGCTGGGCCTTGTGCCACGCAGCCCGGAGCTGCCCCGGCACCGCCAAGGGGACAGGGCGCCCAGCCGAGGGCTGGCGGCTCTCCCACAGCTGCGGGACGCCTCCCCGAGGAATGAGGCCCCTGTCAGCACCTCGTCCAGCTGTCCCCGGGCACCCGGGCCCGCCACCCCCACCGCCTCAGCGTGATTGTCCCTGACATGCAATCGCAGCTGTCCCTGGCACCCGCACGAACCCAGCTTGAGCCCGAGTCGAATTGTACATCCTTCATTTACCACAATTTTTCATGTTTTGAAGTCCGCCGGGGTGGGGGGCCCACCGGCGCTCACATCTGTCCCCTTCCCCTAGAGGGACCGTGGCTTCGGGCTTCTCCCAGCCCTGCTGTCCAGCAGCCAGCGCTGCCGGGGGAGGCGGGCAGGTGTGGGGCCACTTGTGGGCCACGCTGAGGCTGAGCGTCCCCCCCCACGGCCTCCTCGCCCACCACATCCCAGAGGGGCCACCGTCCGCCGTGACTGCCGGGCAGTGGTGAGGCAGAGCTCTTAATGGGTCTCTGGAGACAGAGCTCTAGGGGAAAACACAGAGGAGTCCTTTGTCCTTTTTTTCTTCATGAAATTGTGTTTAGAACAGGAAGAAATCTCGGACGCGGCCCAGAGGTCAGAACCCAGAGGCCTGTGGCCTGGACTCTGCCTTCAGAACTGTATCCATCTCTGCACTGGTCACACAGGGTCCCTCTCCCGCTGCAGAACAAACAGCCCCAAACCTCCAGTCAGGCCGGCACCCAGGGCCAGGGCCCTGATGTTGGGCGCAGGGGCAGAGCCTGGCATCTCCTGGGACCTGTGCTCAGGAAACTTGACCCAGGACTGGTCTAGACCTTAGGCCGCCGCTGCTGCTTCTGCAACCATGGCCTGCCTGGTGCCGGGGAGGGGAGAGGGCTGTCCCACCTGTCAGTCCCCCCCTCCCAGGGGCATTTTGCTAAGGCCTCCCCTGCACCCAGAAAATGATGAAGGTGCTTTTGTGGGCGCGCTTAACTAGCCGGATCCCTGGAGGACTGGAGCTGGCCCAGTCCCTCTCACCGCACCGGGAATCGTCACTGTGGCACGGTCACCTAGAGCCACGCGCCTCCCCGGCTACACTGAGAGGTCCAAACATGCACCGTGAGCAAGAACAACGGTGCTTGTTTGGACTCAAGAGTCCAGCCTGCAACAGTGGACAGGCACAGGCAGACAGACCGCGGCTGAGCTCAGAGGCTGCTCGCTCGCTCTTCCCTGGTAGTTCAGCTCAGAGGCTGCTCGCTCGCTCTTCCCTGGTAGTTCAGCTCAGAGCCTGGCACTTGCCAGGCTGCCTCCACCATTTGAGTCATACCTCCAGCCTTCTTTTTCCCTGTGTATTTTGCACGCTTTTATGCACAGACTGGCCTGAACACTGAAATGCCCTGGATCTTAGCCTCCTGAGCAGCGAAGGCGGCAGGCATGTATCACCAGCACCCAGCTGGCATTTGTTATTTTCAAGGTAGGGTCTCGCGTTATGTCCAGTTGGGCCTGGACTGCGAGCCTCCCATTTGCTGCCCTCCGTCACTGGGATGACAGGTGCACAACCCCGTGCCCAACCGCCGCTTGAGAGCCAGTCTTACGAACGTTTAATGCCTGAGCTGGCCTTCAACCAAAACCCCTGCCTTCTGCCTTGTGAGCTATTGTAGCTAGAGCCTGAGCCACCTCCCCTGGTATAGGACGTGGTTTCTGAAGTACAAGGCCCATCAGCGTCCTGTCCCTGGCCGACAACCTCTCCCAGACCCTGCATGGTGTCTCGGTATCCAGAAGAGAGCCTGGCACGGAGAGAATGATGGAGACGGCGGTGAGGGCCAGGCTGAGGTCAGGAGACCGGGGACTGCCATGGTCCGAAGGCCCGAGAGATCCTGGGCTGGAATAGGGCTGGGGCGTGGAGGCTGAGCACTGGGCATGGGGCTGGGGCGTGGAGGCTGAGCACTGGGCATGGGGCTGGGGCACCAGGAGCAGACGTGGAGGGTCCTCACTCTCCTAGGGATGGCTGTGGGCGGGATCTTGCCAAGGATTTTGTCACAGGGCTGCAGGAGTGCCCTCTGCGTGTTGAGCAGGAAGTGCTGAGCACCAGTGGGCGTGGCTTGGATCAGCTCCGCCCAGCCCTGACCGGCCAGGAGTAGACACCACAGCTTCCCCAAGCACATCTGTGCACACGTCACCGCAGGCAGGTTTTCCCCCTTCCCGGAATCCCTTCACAACACAGCAGAGCCCAGGCCTGGGACGGCGGGGCGGGGACGGGGCGATCTGCAGTGAGGACACAGGCCTGACAGCCCAGGTGGGCTCACCACCACCCCCCCCCCCAGGCTGGCAGCTTCTGGAGGACCCTGGGCCGGGCCTGATGGGAATACCCGCTGAGAGGCAGGAACGGGGCAGGCTCTTCACTCCTGGGCCAGGAGGCCAGGAATGGATCCTCAGCCCAGCCAGAACTCCCGGCCAGCCAGCTCTGAATCCTTGAGACCACTATGCTAAGGTGGGGTCGTCCAGCCGGGGCGCTTGGCCAAGGGCCGTTGCATCTGTTAGAGGGAGGCTGGACCCGAGCGGAGCCCAGAAGCCCCTGTCCAGCTTCTCTGGGGACAGGACAGGCAAGACAGCTGTCTTCAGGAGCTGCTGCTCTGAGTTCACCCTTCTCTGCTTCTGCCAGACCAGCCAGTAATTAAAAGCACTAATTAATCTCTGGGATTAATGACTAGGACGGGATGCCAACTGCCCAATGCACTGCCCTGAACACAGAAACCAGAGAGGCTCACGCAGTAACGTGCCGGCCTGGGGCTCGGGGGCCTACCCCACCCGTGGACACGCTGTCCCCTGACTCCTGATGGCCTGAGGTGGACAAGGGCAGCAGCGGGGACCGTGGTGTGCAGCGACACTGGCCAGCACAGACCCAGGGCTTCCTGCCACCATCACCACAAGACAAGGGTGTGGAGAGGCAACGGCGGTGTCTGAGCCAGGACTGTGGCACAGGAGCCTCCGGCCCATGCCTCCCCAAAACACGCCTCTTGTGGGGGTCCATCTGCTTTCTGAGGCGCCAGGGCCAGCTGCCCGAGGATGAGCCCTGGCCAGCCATTCCTTCCCCTGGAGACGGCAAAGCAGTCCAGGTGATGGTCGTCAGGTCTGGGGTGAGGTCAGACAGATTGCACCAGCAGAGGCGGCTGCGGGCAGGAGAGAAGAGCTGGGGGAAGACGGACGATGGTACGCTTGGACGAGGACCTGCGGCCTGCAAGGCGGGCTGAGGCGGCTCAGACGCGGCCCCTCCACCACGAGACCCCTGTGTCAAAAGCCCCGTGGGTTTGCGCCCTGGGAGCGGCGCCCTCCTCCTCCAGCTCTCAGATGAACAGGGCCTTAGCCTTCCGTGGCTCCTCCCCTGTGGGCAAACTTCCGCAGGCCGAGAGGACTCTGCCCAGCACCCTGGAGGTGCAGGCTGCACGGAGCCTGGCGGGTCCGGAGCTGGGAAGGGTTTGAACCAGGTCTCGGTCTCCTTCTCCACTCACAACTCACTCTCTAGCTCAGACACAGCGCTGGCCGGCACTTCCACGGAGGCCCAAGACACACAGCATCCATGGACCCTCCTGGGGTCTCACACCTTGTGAAGGGCCCCAGGGGCTGGGGAGTGTGTGTGTGTGTGCTGGGGAGTGTGTGTGTGTG